GGGTACCTGAAGTATTAACAATGCATGATTAGGTAATACAATGCCACTTAGCGACATTTTTTTCTTACACTAGGATGGTAGCAATCTGTCATACGACCAATCTGATAATTAGCCGTAGTAACCTTCGCTTATAAGCAGCACTACGGACATTAAGTTACCATGTGACACCTGTGATATCATTCATACGTTGCCGTTCCAGAGAACTAAGATGCCATGCGTCTTGTCCTGTAATTTATTCAGTGTCTTGAAATCTGTCACAAAATTTTGGCTTCATATAGATATATATATATATATACGTTCCAATGTGAACGGACGAAGAGGCAGAGGCAGGGCACATGTACGATAGACACATGCCATTCGAGATGCCATCCAGAGGAATATACAGTCAGTGATCCATTTGGCACAAAATAGAGATGCCTAGAGAGTATTGGTTGGAATAAGCATTCCTGGTGGTCATGACCCTCAGCCTTGAGGAATCGACTAAGAGAAGACTTACTAACGAGCCCTGCTAATAAACACAACGCTATATTTGCTGATCCATAACAATGTCAAATATCAACTAAAATTAAATTATAAAAAAACCATAAAGATAATATTCCGATATTTTTGCTAATATTTTCCTTGTCTCATGCCATTATTAAATATAATTGTTTAAATTCGACTACCTCAGTAGTCTAGCGGTTTGGCAAAAGACTTATTCTTATAGATATTAATTATATATTTACAAGAAAAGGAAATATTTTAGTATGTCTATCTGTCAAGTACCCGTAGTACTAGTTTTGCTAAATTGGGTCTAGATAGCGCTATGTGAGCTATTAGGTCTAAAAATATAATATACTAAAATTATAAAGAGGCAGCGGTTTTTGTAATGAGTAAAGTAGAAACCACTACTCCGTTTTGAGAAATTTTTTCACTATTTCTGAGACATATTTTAGATTACGGTAGCAGAGTGCTAAAGGCTATACGTAAATACAAGGTTAAAGATGTTTAAGTAAAGACAAGAGAAAAGTGGCTATGGCTTGTTGTTTGCGCCTTGAGTATGCTCGGAAAAACAAATTTAGATAAAAAATATCGATAAGCATGCTCATTCTACTTAAAATTAACTAAATGGCTTAGCTTTGGCAATTTTATTTATTTGAAGTCTAAGTCGAGTGTAACTTTCTTGTCTTACTTTTTCCCCTCAAATTTGTCCCAAACATTTTATTTTCTTCTAATTTCTCCCCATCATCTAAATTCATTGAATTTCTTCAGCCCGATGTCATTGTTATGGTAAAGTACCTATAGATTTGTTGTTTGGACCTGGCTAGTATGTTGTGGCCTCAACTCATCGATCCCTATGATAATTACATACATACGCATGTATGGAATTATAGTCATAAACCAGATATATTCAACAGGAAATTCTGATAACATTTTTGCCTGTTGGGTAAGTTTGATCTGGATAAAAGCGGTATCTATAAGAACTCGGTCTTGATAAATTTAATATTAGACCAACACATAAAATCGACTCAAAGGTTCGTCATTGTACTCTAACCTATGCTAACAGTACGCACTGACAGAGCAATAAAATCAGTTAATACTTTGTGGCGCATTTTTAGGGATAACAATGGACTGGTGTACTCGCCTACGTTAACGGTATACGCTGGCGGGGCACCAGTGGAGGATGACAAGATGAGTATGAGGTCAGGTCAGTTAGCCCATGGCAAATACACCAGGAATTTAACATGATGGTTTCAGGAGATAGCGCATGCGTACATTGCTATTTATGGGGTTATAAATCCACATTACTAACAAGTCCCTTCCTCCCATCGTGGCGCATTTACCACGATGGTTTCCAGAAGCGATTGCGAGGAGGTAGTACTGAAATAATTTATGATACATTTTCAATAATGAGGTTAACATTAGGGCTTCAAAACAGATTTCGATTATTCTGTTTACCAAAATGTTTATGGCATTTAGTTATAATAAGGAATCAGTTTAATAAAACCAATTATAAGGACTATCAATATACAAGAGTGATACCTATGTTGTTTCAGGCTATGGTAAACGTTCACCATCAGATGGGCCGTATACTTTATTCCCGCCACTGTGGTAACTACTGTTAATACTTATACAAGTATTAACATCGCGCAGACAGCCATGACGCGTCATTGTACTGCGACTGCGCGCCATGCAATATTATGCATCTGTGGCGCATTACGTTAGCGCGGGAAAATAAAAATTGCTTCTCAGCAGATAAACTAATTTTACTACTACCCCTACTTCTTAATTGTTTTATATGTCTGTAGTTTATTTCTAATAAACTACATATAACCACAACAAACCTAAATATAAATATTGCCCTTAATAACATACCTAATAGATATAAAAAAATATTTTAGTTTTGAACTCGAGTTCGTGGATGGTCACATTTAAGTGTAAAATGGATAAGTCTTTCCTTATTTGCTTGATAACGTTACTTAAGGCAATAATATATCGGCGAATTTATAGATAACCAGCGGACCATTCCGAGTTCACCTGCGTTGTACAAATATGTATGTACACGATATTGTAGGTATACGAATGTATGCATGTATGTAATATAGACTAGATCACCAAGCTGTCTCAGGAATCTATCGCGGTTAATTACTGGTAAAAATTACACTGGGCTAACAGTTCTAAAATTATGCTCAGCTTATCGTCATTAAAAACAAAACTTTATACACATTACCTAAACATTTTTTTATAATTATAATGGCAAATAAGCTGAAGGCCGTCTTTAAGGTAAACAATATCATCTTACTTCTTAATATTATAATCGCGAAAGTTTAAATCATTAAAATCCATTCAGTAATTTTAGCGTGAAAGAGTAACAAACATCCATCCATCCACACTCACAAACTTCCGCGTTTATAATATTAGTAAGGTTCAATTAGCAGCTTGTATACATGTAAACACACGTACATGTGTATACACACAGCCACATCAACATAAAAAAAAAAACTGGTGAGCAATGTTAATTGTGATGTTTCACATCTGCCAGCCATCCTGCCCTCCATCAGAAAGCCTGGCAGAGATCTCAATTTGAGAATCACCAGATAGACTTCAAACGCGATCGATTTTGTACCTTGTTCTTGTAGTCAAACTGCACTTTCTGATATTGTTAAGGAAATAGGTAGATAGGTACTGATAAAGACAAATGTTATCTGATAATGTTGTACCTATTTCTGAGCCTCTCCAATCGTCCTTACATATAATAAAATTGTTACCAAACCAAATTGTTACTTTAAAAAAATGTATTTTGTGCTCATTTTTTAGGGTGGCAACTCGTGACGCCCCTGTTGTATCAGGCATCCAATGTAGCATCATTGCTCATCATCATGGTATAAAAATAATACAAATATTATTGAAATGTTAATACTTGTATTTCTTTTGTTTGCTCAAAACTATTAGTCAGTACTTAGTTGAAAAAATATGTAAATAATAATTTCATAGATGACTGTATGCTGTATGTAACATAATATATGTTAAAATATACCAATTTTTTTTATATATTCTGTTTACCCCATTGATAACTGAATGACATATAGGCAGCCAGAAAAGAACAACACAATAAAGAAGTGCAATCTATACATTTCACACACTTATTATAATACTGGCCTAACTCAAAAATTACAAATTTTGGAATATCCACTTTATAACTGTGGTTTTATAAGTCTAATTTCAAAGATTTAAAATATCTGAATTACACCAGTTTTGTACTAGATATGAAATATATCATAAAAATGTCTCCCAACATATGTCTTAAATTTGCGATAATTTCATAAACTACAGAATTCTTTGGCATAGACCAAAACAGTCATTTCTAATGTAAGTTTAGGTGTATAATACATTAAGGTTTTGTGTGCATGAACTGTGTTAATTAATTTAATTACAACTTTACAGTACTTTAGATTTTGGTAATATTGGTGTTCTGGTAAATAATAAAATAAAACTACCTAATATTACAACTGTTATACTGGACAGAATACCCAACATTACCATCAGCAGACAGGGGAAAGGGTTTGTCAGTAATGTGGATTAATAACTCCATCATGAGCTATGTGCCAAATCAAGTTGATACCCCTGGAAACCACCATGATAAATTCCTGCTGAATTAGTCACAATGGCTCAATTAACCTGATCTCATGCTCATTGTACCTTCATCCACTGGTGCCCTTTCCATTAGAGTGGAAGGGGATTGTTAGTAATGTGGATTGTAGATCCCATTTGTTGGCAATATACCAGTTCAGGTTGACCTCCATGCAGTTCTCCATTGAAGCCGATAAACAATATGATGAATGATGAATTTGCCACAAAAGGCTGACTGATCTGACCTTATGTTCATTTTATCAAGCTCCACTGGTTGTCTACCAGCATGTACTGTTGGCGCAGTCAGCTGTACCATTCCATTATTATACATAAAAAACATCAACAGAGAACACCGACTCTGATTATCCACTGTTAATGTTGGGTACATACTGGGTACATTTTTTATCATATATATATGGGCAAGCCTATAATTCAAGCCTCAAATTATTTTTGATTGATTGTTATGATAATAATTAAAGTCTAATAAAATCTTTTTAGTAAGTATGTAAATTTAAAAATAATAAATCTGGTATTCATAAAACAGAAACTGCAGAATTGAGACCAAGATATATTAAAAAAATTTAGAATTAAAAATAATGTATTGGTTAATACAATTAATTTTATTCCATTATGCGAAATGTGTTATAGACCTTTCTGATTTTTTATTTTTAAACAAATATTTGTAGATAGAAAAAACTTACTTATTTGTTAGTTTTTTCTATCTACAAATATTTGAAAAATAAAGTTAAAAAAAAATGTTTTTATAAATACTTCATAATATAGTCATCTACTAAGTTATAAAGTTACACAACGAAAGTTTTCCAGTCCGATCCTCAAATAAAGAGAACACACCGGGTATACCGTTAAATATAATATGTATCTCTGAGTACCTTATTAAATATTCTCTGCCAGTACGAATTAGATCTCGTCATAGGGATGGAGACCGAATCTTGTCGAGCAGGCATCTTTAGCTGCACCCGGGGGCAAGTTTAAAAAAAGAAATCAAAGAAATTCTAAACAAAGTAGCACATTCACAAAAACAACAATTACACTTCACGTTCATTCACTCTGAGTTTATCAGTAAAATTGGTTTTAACCGATATTAATGAATAGATTTTTCATAATAAAATTAAATGAATCACACGACTGTTTACGAAGACTTAAGAAATAAAAGTAAAGAAAAAGAAAAAAATATCTAACAGTCGTCTACTTCGTTGCGCACAGACTACTAAATTTATAGAGATGTTGAGTACTTGTAGAATACCGTTTGGTTTTTATTGACATTTATTCAGTATTGCCTACTCAAAAAGTTGAATTAACCAATTTTAAAGTGAATATTATCATTTTCACAATAAATCTGTCAAAAAGCGATATTACTACTATGTTTGTTTATAGTATATTGGCAAGTCTTTACCGCCCATGAGCACCCAAAATACCAGGAGAATTGCAAGGGATTTGCGGTTCAAAGCTCTAAGCTTTTATGTTGAAGGCACCAAAATGTTTTGGGATAAAAAGCACGATAGAGGCATAATATATCGTTTAGTTTAATTTGTTATTAAAAATATGTTCTAAACAGTATTCCTATCAAATATTTATAATATAAAGCCTGTATGTGTATGTATCTAATATTATTTTGGTAATACAACGACGACTAAAACATTTATGCCTAAAATTCACAATATTCTTTGAAATGTTGTATTCTGAGATATAACAAATTTAATTTTCCGTGTCAGATGCGTTTGTTTCAAAGTTACAGAAAACGTAAAAAATATATTGATATGGCAACATTAGTACAGACTTCAATTGACAGTCGAATATTTTTGTCACGTCAATGAGTGATTTAATGACAGATTGACATTTGAAGTGTCATAGCCTCAGAATTTAATATTCTATTTAGTCAGTACTTCAAAAATACTGGTTATTTACCAAGTATATGAATTGACTAAACAATGAAACTTTTTTATTTACTATTGTTCTTCTTACTTTTTACCATTAAAGTGGTTAAGCTTGATAATAAATAAATAGTATGTAAAATATAATATAATAATATATATAAATATTCTTTAATTATGTTTTAACATTTACTCCGAAAATTACCTCAAAATACCTACATCTTTAAAATTTACTTCCAATAAAAAATAAAATAAGTAATTGTATCGGTTTTAACGTCTCCTCTTAAAGATAAACTTCAAAGTTCAGAGGTTGTGTTGTATTTTGTTGTTTTTTGTAATGACAAATTTTGTTGCTATGACAACAAAATAACAACACTGACTACTAGACTAAAATACAGTTTTGTGTGTTAAGTTTGAAATACTGCAATAAAATGAATGATTTTAGTCGTCAGAATAAAATTACAGGAGTGTATTGGCTGAAAGGTTCCGTGGAAAACATTAAAATAAGGTAGGGTGCTGCGTGTTTCTTCTATTGCTTACAGTAATGCGGTTTCAAAGATATTATTCCACCTTTTTTTAGGTAGTTGGAATGGGAAACAAGCTGATTGCCCATGTGTTGGTAACCGTCGCCTATATAGGTACATGAACAGCACTACGGATATTCGCATACACAAATGAACCTATACTTTGCCATTTCATAATATTAAGATGTCATTGCTCTTCAGTGGCGTAACTATGGGGTGGCAAGTTGGCAAAATGCCATAGCCGGAAGGAGTCCTGATTAGATGAGAATCCCAACTTCCAAAATTTATTGTTACACATTTAGTAAAAAAAATGTTTTGCCTTTAATGCTATTACTTTTGCATGCAACTAGGGACTTATTACATGTAATACCTACGTAGTTGCATGCAGAAGTAAAACAATGTATTAAAATTTCAATGCATTTGTTGAAAAAAAAAGTTTTTACAATAATATTAATGTACAGGCCGTAACACTGCTAGGAAATCCCTGTGTCACAGCTGCTGTATATTGGGTAGAGGGTATGCGTTGAATTTGCTACGGGCCTCGAACGGTACAGTTACGCCATTGTTGCTCTTATGCAGTAATTTCATTGCCTAATTTGCACCCTAAAACTAAAACACAGCTCCTATAGCAAGGTCCTTGGCGGCTGAAATAGGCGAGATAGAAGCACTGTAATAACTATCTTTCTTACGACAGATTCTTCACAGCATAAACAGAGACATAACTTATTACTGCATAATTACTTCTTGGTATTGCAATCTTATAAAATTTTTTTTTCTTAATTTCTAACTTTGTAGTGTGAAACTAATAATTACCTTGGTAATCCAGACTTATAAAAAAAATCTTAATTTGCAGAGTGAAACTAAAACCCATAGACGGATTGATATCATTACCAAAATTAGAAGAGTTCACAAGCACACCAAACATGATTCGTTCTGAAATTCAAGAGCACACATTTATATGGCAGGAGAAGTCGTTTTGCATACGAGAGTTGCAGCAATACGCAAACGTACACAATTGTATCACGGACACCGAACTGACTTACCACAATATGATAACCAACTCTAATTATGAACCGTCTAATGTGTTTACATACATTCACGATGACTATCATTTACCACTCCCAAACAATGTCAAAACTAATAAATCCGGTATATTCGACTTGTCGTTTTGTATGAGTATGCTCAAACTGAACGAAAACGCTAGAAGTATTCAACAGTCGAGTTCAATGGGTCATTTGTTCAGGAGCGAGGAGAATGTAGATTGTGATGAAGAACAATGGGCTGCGATGCACGTGATGCTGGATAATTCGGAATACAACGGGTATGACTAATCTATATAAATAAATATGAATTGCTGTTCGTTAGTCTCGCGAGTCCAAAACACGAGAATGGCTGAACGGATTTTGCTAATTTTAGTATTTTAAATTTTCGTGGAAGTCCAGGTAAGGTTTAAACGGTGATAAAATATGAAGAAATTGCATGAATAATAGCAAAATTCAATTATATTTTCCCATACAAACTGTCAAAACGTTCAGAAATTTATTGCGTAACTAAACTTCAAAACTCCTTTAAATCTGAGGCGGAATGGAGTTCGCGGGGTCAGTTATTATATAATATCTTTGTTTTATGTCACTGGAATGGCAAACAAAAACTGCACAGGGGATGCCCTGTAGTACAATGAATACCCTGGACAATTCACATAGCGCCATTCAGTCCCATGTTATGAAGAGCTTCAAAACCGTGAACCGAAACCCCGACTATAAGAAGTAAGGCGGTTTGCTAATCCGTTAGACCACTGATGAAGAAGGACTACTCGAATGTTGCCATTCCGGCGGACTAAGATGCTATGTAATGTCCTATAGTTGAATTGCTTAATCTCGGGCGGAAGAAGATTGTTAGTAATATGGACCCATGAACCCATTACTAGCAATGTACTATGTCAGGTTCACCTCCACGCTGGAAACTACCGTGATAAATTCCTGGTGAATTTGTCACGATGGTGCCCCGCCAGCGTAAACCGTTAGCGCAGGCAGGTGCACCATTCCATTATCATCCATAAAAAAAATCTCACCCTACGTCCGAAACAGTTTACAAATAATGCTGCTTGATTGCTAAGATAGGTGATAAATTTAACAAAATAGTATAAATCCATTAAGTAGTGAAATAGACTTCCCCAAATAACACCTAATTCGATAAAATAAAAACTGTTATATAATTTGTAGGGACTCGCAACTGCTCCTGAAACAAGAAATTACTCTAGTGTCTATATATCATAACAAAATTAACAACTACCTCATAATGTCGCCCGACGTGAACGATCTGGAAGGTAACTCGTATGCCGTAGACACTGCTTTGGGAGTGCCGCTTGGTTACGAGTATTCAATCGAAGTGGATTTTGAGGAGATGGGAAACTCTGAAGAGTTGACAACATTAGTGAGTGATCTATTCTTTATCAATAAACGTTAATTAAATTAACGTTATTATTTTTAATTTTTAAGTGGTTTTTAATACAGATATAATCATAATAATAATTATGACCACGTCATTTAGTTTTTAAGCAAAATTTTGATATTTTTTGATATGTTTGATATATTTATTCATTAACAATTTATATTGTGTTTTAAATAATAAAATTTGCTGCCATCAACACTGTAAAAATATGTGGAAAACAAAGCAACCTTCCCTAAAAAGCTTCCAATTATGTATTATCTTTAAACAAAAAGAGTTATAAAGACATTATACATATATTTTGTTGCAGTTAAGAAAATTACTCAAGAGATGGGAGAAAAAACAGAAGTACTTAATGACTTTCTCCATGCCTCCGCTTGACAAGAAACAGTATTGCATCTCACTTGACATACTGTCTGCAACTGATTTTGATATGGACGATCTCTACATTGAATATAATATAAAGGTAGGTAACGCCTGATGGAATATAGCTAGCAAAGATTTACAAAAATGACATAATAGAAACCAGTTGTAAGGCGTTATGGTAATTACTGTGATTTTACTGCCTAATCTTGCCCTACAAACAAAATAAAGCTTATGAAGAAAATCAGTACAGGCTAATAGGACATAGAAAAATTACCAAATTACTATTGTTTTAGATATTTAAAGACGTTTCGACTGGTTAACTCGTATATTAATAATATATAGTAATATAACAAATAATAGAAGTTATATTTATTAAAATAAACTTAATATAAGCACTTTTGAATAGTCATATTTTTTTTATTCTACTACTCATGAGAGTATCTGCGAGAAATTCTTTTAAATAAATGTTATTCAGAATTCCATTTACATGAATTTTCTGTGAAGTATGTATTTACTTCACAGAAAATTCTTGTAGTGGTGAGTAAATGTCTTTATTTATTTATATTGAGAAAGAATATGTGGAAATGCGAAGTGATAATGTGCATGTACCCACATGATGATGTGCATGTGCATGTACATACAAGCACCGCTCTAATGCCTGCTCACTTCTTGCCAGCAAATATTCTACCGTAATAGCCGGCGCTAGAGCAACTCCCGTCTAGCGCAGCATTTATCACGTTATCACTATAGCGTTATGTATGATTTGATGAGGTGTCGCTACATAATATATTTGTTTATTGTAGTATCTAGGTAGTGAGTATAGAGGTAGAATTATTGTACTATTTACTAATAGTGTGTTACATGGCTTAGTAACACGTACATTCGAAGCGGAGTCCGGATATAGACTGTTTTTACAGTAAACTTAAATCTATGTTATATGGAGAGGTACTAAAGGAAGGGTCTCAAGTGTTGACAGTATGCGGGCCTTGCACTTGGCAGCTGAAATAGGTGAGACTGAGGTACCTACGCAGATGTCCACGCCTACATAGCCTGTAATATCTTCTTAATATGTAAGATTAGTGTAACATCTTGAAGGTCGGTCAGTCGACTTTCTGGAAGGTCGGCTTCCAGAAAGTGGTCTTCGACATCGAAATTTTACAAATAATCTTACCACTGGCATACTGTCAACACATCTTCTACACACACATCGGTTAATTCCTTTCTAGCTTGAACAACATTTTTACCTTTTCTATAGTAAAAAAATAAAATATAACGAAAATGCTGCTTGTTGGTCTCGACATTTAAAAGGGTGGTACCAAAAATTTATGACTATAATTATTTGAACTTTTTCACACACAAGTCTTGCTATGTCAGCTCTCAAAATATAATGATTAATATAATGCTGAATAAGTGTGAAGCTGGCTTCCAGAAAATACAATTAAATCCTCTGTTGGGAAAAACGAAATTAATTTCCGAAAACCTAATAATTTGTAACGCGTTGGTTACCACCTCACCGCTGTAGCGGTACCCATGATGTAATGAATTGGAGACGTAAACTTATAGATGGGTTGACAGAAATATTACAAGTGTTGGTACAAACTGATCATCTGCTTACATTTTAAACTTTATTAAGATTCCAGAAACAATGAGCTGTAATGGTGATCTGCATGGCAGGACACACACAAGTAAAGCTCTCGGTACACACAACACACAAGAATGGAACTTTGGATATATTATAGAACTTGATCTGGAGATGCCAGTAGACTTAGGTATATACTGTTTTAATTTAAATAAATTGCAACCGTGGGCAATTCACACACTGCCATTTAGTCCCAGGGTAGACAGAGCTTGGGTTAAGGGTACTAGACAATTAATAGATATACCTAAATATACTTTATAAATATATAGAAAACACCTCCTGTTTTTTATACATTTATAAAATATATGTAGGTATTTTTAGCAGTTGTCTAGTACCCATAACACAAGCTCTGCTTACCTTGGGACTAGATGGGGCGTATGAATTGTTCAAGGATACTAATGTACCATTATTATTAATTTCAATGTATTCATTGCACTAAAAATAGAGTTTATAATAATAATTACTGCTCTTTTCAATGTAATATTAGTTTATTTTCAGATCCACCCTCCCTTCAGATATTTTTCGAAGTCATCTCAACGGACTGGTGGGGTCGACATCGCACAGAAGGATACAGCTATCTCCCTTTAACGTTAGACATTGGATGTTACCGGAAGCAGCTGACCTGCTCTCGCCCGGAAGAGAGTGATCGTGTTCAGGGTGAGAGTAGAAGATTCTTCGTTGGTGGGTGCCATTTGATCAAAGATTTGGAGGTGTTGGCCCAACCACAGTTACAGGTAAAAAAATTATATTCATTTGAGTATAATTATGTTGTTTTGTCTTCTCCCCCCGAACTTGTCACATTCTTTCTCTACCCCATTCACTCCACCTCCCTAGTGTCACATTGTTGCAATTTTATACTAGAAAACCGAGTATAAATTTGTTAAAAAACAATATATAATAATGAATAATAATAATAGTAATATTTCTTAAGTTTTTATATCTTATATTCTAAAGTCTACGTCTGAGTCAGGAATTTAAGACCCCTCACAAGGAGTGTCACACAATGTCACACTTTGTCTCGAAATTAACTATACTATACTAATAGCGTGACATTGTGTGACACCCTTTGCCAGGGGTCTTTTCTGACGTCACGTCACGAAGTTCAGGATCTCCCTCAGACTTCTTGTCACACAATGTCACGCTTTGCAGTCCCCTCGCTCCCCATCAACATATGACGTAATTAATGGATGCCCCCCTCGATGCGTTACAGGACACCAAATTCGTATTCACCACGATAGGCACCCTCAGTATCCAATGGAACATTCCTTGTCACACAATGTCACACTTGCCCCTTCGCTCCCCCTCAACATGTGACGTAATTAATAGATGTCCCCCTCAATGCATTACAGGACACCAACTCTCCAATGGAACATAATATCCCAAACGCACATTCCCAGAGCTGATTATACTCCACTTCCCAGTACCAGTACAGCATCAGCTGTACTCCTCGGCGCTGAAGCTGTCCTGCGTCAGTACAGGAAGGCGAGGGCCAGGCTCGCCGCCGCTACTAAGGATCTGACAGGGTCCAGGAAAGATGGAGATGGAGATGGATAGCTGGTGACTTAAATCTTATGAGATTATAATTCATGACAATAATTCGACGGTCTGGTCTAGCGGCATACTGTGTTGCTTCCGATGGTCGCGGGTTCGATTCCTTGTACAGTAAGGCGGTGTACTAAACTGCTAGACCACAGATACCGTCGATGACGACCACCGAATGACATTGATAAAACCGTAGAAGTCCTTAGAACATTTCATATGTAACGTTTATAAGTTTTTTTATATATAAATAATTAAAAAACATAAAATACAACACAACAGTCTTTGTCTTTAATACATAACATGAGGAAGTAAATATTAATAATGAATAAATACGAACATTTAAGTGGTCCTTCGAGCCGGAGAAATAAAAGATCCTCCACCGTAAGTTGCGACAACAGCGCAAAAGAATTGTAAGGATATTTTCAAAGGCACTATAGAAGATAAAATGTGTCGATTTACAGTCAATTAATCTATCGACGAAGAAAGATCATAAAACATAGGTAATTCGATTAATTTGACTTACGTAAAATTTTAAAAGTATATTACAATATAAGTGAGTTGTGACGGCTATAGCACACGAGACGGAATTACCGTCAAGGCGTAATAAAGCCCGAGTGTGTTAAATACGCATCTATATCGTACGATGTTTTTTAACACACTTGATTTCAAATAAACACAACCATAAAACTGATCCATGTAATCGCATTCTCGCCGTTTTACTTTTTTAAATCGGCGCGTGCTTACTGGCTAGCACCGCGCGGTGGTCGGTTCGAAATTAAAAAAAAAACAAATAGTGCGGTTACGGAATATAACTTCACTATTGCACGTGTATATTATGACCTGATTTATATATCGAAAAACGGTGAAATTGGATCCACTTTACGAGCAAGTGTGTTAAAAAACCGATAAATGATTATAACCGATAACTGATTATATAGTTAACTATTTCTGATGGCCTCTCTCAAATGTGCGGTAAAGGCAGCCAGCCTGCGTCCGCGTGCAACGCGTGCTGCACGTGCGCGTGCTATTTGTTCTCGTCGTGCATCCTGAAGAGCTGCGCGTGCTGCCAGCGCGAGCACGCGCGCGCTCTGAGCTGCACGCACTTCGTTGAGCACCACTGATGACTCCCATGAGCTTAGTGCGTTGGATATAGCTGCGCGCTGAAAAAAACATGTTTTTTTTCTTGGTCAATTCATATAGCGCCATGCCCAAGTTAAGCAGAGTTTGTGTTATGGCTCCTAGACAACTGATATAAATACATAGATACTTTTTTTGTAAATCTTAGGTACTAATATTATAAATGCAAAATTTTGTAAGTATAGATGGACGTTTTTTACTCTTTCACGCAAAAAAACTACTAAACGGATTTTGATGACGCTTTACAGTAACATAGCATATATCAGAATAACACATAGGCTATAATTAAAAAAAATATTATGTAAATTGGTCGATATATAATGATAAGTGTGATGCAAACGTAGTCGCGGGGGTAGGCTAGTATATTTATAATATACAAATGGATAACACCCAGACCGATGTAAACAGTCATGCTTATGAATACAAATGTTTGTACTATGCGAGAAATCGAACCCATTGGAAGTAAAGCGGTGTGATAAATCGCTGCGCGCTGAAGAAAATATATAAGTTTATTGAAGAGGGAAAAAGGGATTATTAGTAGATGAGAGTATTTTTTAATGGATGATAATGGTATGGTGCACCCGCCTACATTTATGGTTTACGCTGGCGGGGCGACAGTGGAGACTGATAAGATAAGCATGAGGTCAGGTAATTAACCCATCTTGACACTTTCACCATTAACATCATGAACATGATAGTTTCCAGGCGATTACCCATGGAGGTCAACCTAACATGGTTGCTAGCAACAATGCCATTCCCTGAGCATTTCCCCTTATTGAGGAGAGTAGTGGAACTATTGCTACAGTGTACCAGTATCAAGTCGGTCTCCACATGGTCTCATCATGGAAACCTTCATGGTAAATTTTTGGCAAAATCGTCTCGATGGACTAATATGCTAGACTAGTGGTTTCCAACATAATTTTTACTGCGTACCACTTCAAAAAAGAGCTCAAACCTTGCGTACCCCTGATTGTAGCGATCACACTAATATTATAAATGCGAAAGTTTGTGAGTGTGTGTGTATGTTTGTTACTTCTTCAAGCTCAAACGCCTGCGGGAACAAAACGAAGCGGGAACGGGTGACGGGGATAGATGATCGTTCATCATCATCATCATCTGAATGACGATCGGTCAGTTATTTACTTCCTTTCTTACCATATCACCTTTCACACAGCTCTATTTCTTTTTCGGTGTTCCATCCACATTCATTTGTAACTTTTACAATGATGATCGTTATAAAATAATATTTTGGAAATTGTTCTTGTTTTCACTGATAGCCGCATATACAGGGGGGTCCCTGGGGGTAGGCGTACCACTAATTGGGAAACACTGTGCTAGACTATGCAGATTTTTGTGTTTTCGCTATCGTTCAAATATTACCCGCGAAGCGTCTCTCAAGGTAGCATTCCGTCGTCTCTGGGCTTCATCAGCTCGTTTCTCAGCGTCGTTCAGATCCACGCGCCTCCGCATTTGTTCCGCGGCGTCGAGACGTACACGACGATCCGCTGCGAGATGCGCACGCGCCTCTTCCTCCAGTGCTCGATCTATTAGTTCTGATATCTGCAAACATAGTGAAGAATCTATCAAACGATCTTGTAATAGACAAACTTTGATGTTTAATTACTATACACGCTAAGAAAAAGAAGTCAAGAGCTAAATCAAATACATTTTTTACAATCAATATAAATGTAAAGGTAAATAAGCTGACGGTAAGAGAACAGCATTACGTATGAGTTCTTCAAGAATTAAGGTTTCTTAAGGGTCGACAATTGGCATGTGACACCCCTGGTGTTTCACGCGTGCATAGGCCGGTAACCGTTTACCATCAGATGGGCCGTATGCTTGATTGCTACGTAGTATAGAAAAAACATGACATATCTGATCGTTACGGTGGTCTAATGGTTTAGTAAGTAAAGCGGTGTGTTTTATTTACAATGGTCGTGGGTTCGATTCCTCGTACGTTACAAACGTTTTTATTGTTTGTATCGGGTCTGAGTGTTTTCTATGTATATTATGTATGTATTTAGCAAATATATTTAAGTATTTGTAATATGCATAACCAGTTGTCTAGTATCCATAACGTTGTGTGAATTGAAAAGTGTGGAGTATTATTATTAGAATAGAAAATATATTATTATATTCTACAATTGAAGATTAATTAAATGATTATAATTCAACAATCCTATAATTCAAGCTGATTGGTGGCTGAAACAGGTAAAACTGAAACGCGTTCAGACGATTTTCTTCAAAGTTTTAGCATATACCTTTTTATCATCTCTATGAGCCAGCAGGTCTGCGCTACGCTGTTCTTTATGCCGTATGCTGTTAAGCAGCTCCCCACACCGTGCATGATGATCCAAGGTCCTTTGAAACCTCTTGTATTCCAAACGATTGCGTTCCTGTTCTCGTTTCTTGTGAATGTACCGCTTGTATTGCTCTGATATTTCCGCATCCACCTGAAGTTTAAAAAGAAGGAATATTGTCTATTTGTTTAAGAAGTTCAATAGGGTAAGTTCAAAGAGGATAGCTGTAATCTCATTTAGTAGAGACAGCTAGAGGTATATGGTACGGTAGGGGAAAAGAGGCATTGTCAATATAATGGGTTTTATATTGTTTAATTAACATTAGCATGTGTGAGACCATAAATATTCAGCACGGCTACTTGACCACCGCTACTGGAAGCTTATGACCTTCCATCATTGTGATCCAATTCCGACCGTTATTATATCCACACATATACATGTGCATCCATCTACATTACACATGAATTGTGAACTGCCTACATCGTGGTGAACGTAACTACGTAACACCTGATGTTTTTATCTATAAATCCAACGTGACTGTGGGCGACGCCAGCAACGAGACTGGTATTCGGATTAATTTATTTGTCGATGTTTGCTGGAGAGTCTGTTAGAATTGCAGATGGCACTCCAAAGGAAGCGACAAGCGCGGAAGGACTTATGGAACAGCTGAACGCCAACTCCTGCGCGACGGATACGACTTTAGTTGGAGAAGGCCATCGTAATTTCGACCCTCGTTCAAATTGGACGGGAAATCTCCGCTGCTACCTAAAGCTTATAGAAATTTGGCAATATTCTTGAAAGTTGACAATTTTTTAACCAACGTTATTTGGGGTTTATAAAGCGGTATATAGTAAATAATTAGCACACATCCTTTCCAATTGCTATAGCAAACTTAAGACAAATTATTAATGAGAGCAAGGTTCTATTCCTAGCCATATTGGATTCAAATGTCAAGCGTTGCATTTATCACGACATCGGCATTAGGCAGTGTATTTGGGTTATTTGGTTTATTACTTGTAACTGACATAAAATTAAATGTATTTATTTGCTAGAAAATGGTACAAATATTAAAAGAATGTCAGTATTAATAAAATAGTCCACATATTTCACCATTGTTTCGACGCGTAAAATTTTAGTAGTCTTAAGAGAATTAGTATAAAATGAATTGATGCATAAAAATTATATTATATATTAAAATTAGGTAGGCAGGTAGGTACATAACACTTATTTTCGTTATGTGTTATTAATAAAAAAATACTCCCTAACTTTTAAAGAAAAATTCATTGGTAGTGTAAAAACAATTGTCAATTAGAAATTTTTGGAATTGGTATTTAAAAGAATTAAAGAAAACTAGTCTGTAGGATTACCTGGTCACGTTCTTCCTTCTCTTTTTGCCACATCTTCCTAAACTGATCAGCCAACTTTTCTCTTTCGTCGTTTTCTTCCCTCTTTCTTGCGAGCGCCGCCAGCAGTCGCCAGTCACGTTCCGGTATGGAATCCATGGCGTCACTGGCTTCGTAGTCCAAAGAACTGATCAGATGTGACATAGAACTGGGCACTAGAATGTGAATTGAATGTACGTTGGGATTGGGATTTCAGAGTATTTGTGTATGGTATAGGTTTTTTCGGACTACTCTAATGGTGTTAGCTACAGCTGGCCTTTATAGCTAATCCGAGGCGGGGCGAGTACAGATGACACTCCAAACTAGAGGAAGGACTTATGGAGCGGCTGAAGACCAACTCCCGGCAGACGGATATTACTTTAGTCTAAGCGCATCGCTAGGGGTACGTACCTCGGCTCAGGCTGTCGTAATTTTGATACATGTTTGAATTGGACGGGGGATCGATCTAGGGATGTATACTATAGGATCATGGTGAAGGAAAAGAAAATTGGATCTTAATTGTACTGGCATATCAATTGTAATATTGAATTTTGTTAATAATAATTGAATTAATATTAATAATTGAATGAAATTATTAGAACATCTAATCTAACAGTTTAACACTATAGTTTAATGATCGAGTTGCAGGATAAGAGGCATTACATGGTAGTTCTCTGGAATGCCAACGCATAAGTGGTTTACCAATTACGCATGTATAGGCGACGGTTACTGCTTACCATTGGGTTCCCACCTGATGGTAAGATGTTAGCTTGTTGCTCATTTCCATTACATAAAATAAAACCTAATTTGTAATACACTGTATCTAGTTCATAGTCTTTTGAATAAAAGCGCCTGTTAAGAATACCATAGCAATAGTTGCCTATTGAAAATAAATGTGAAAAATTTGAGGAGCAACATTGCTTCATTAAGTTCACAATATAGTGGAATAACTTCTTAGTTCTGTGGTTACGTTACATACATACATATAACATATACCGTCAGTACAATAATCTTAATTTGACATGCCAATATTCCGTCAACCAAATCTACCAAATCGGTCTCTTTTTCACCGGGGAGTCAGTTATATAAATTGACACACAAACTTGTATATTAGTCAGATTAGATGTGATATTTCCGATTCTCCGGGGCCCCGTAGGTTCGCCTCAGGAGGCTGTGTGTGGTGTTCTCACATACCTTCTCTTAAAGAGTGAAAAGCAACTGGACTACTCTCCGGATGAGAAGCGGCTCCTATTCTAGGAATGGGAGCCTCTTACAGAGTATACTGCAGTACTTCCCGAGGCAGCTGACAGGCCGAAGAGGAACACCAAGAAGTTTTGGTGAGAAAGAATGTCACATACCACACTGAACCACCCGGGCCAAATCTATGCAGATTACTTGTTAAAAAACGTGGCCCAGTAGGTTGTGTTCATCATATGGTCGACCATTTATAATGGCTCTGACTACCTCATCTGGGATAACTCGTAAATTTGAAGATATGCAGTAGATATTGCTTATATTTATATATCTGATAATAATTGTATATGTAAAACCTGTGGTAAAACTATCTAACAAAACTTACTATTCGAAACCCGTCCCATCGGTTCTACCTTCCTCGGCGACGACGCACCGGATCTCCTCGGCGTTTCTGTTATTATTTTATAACAAAACACCATTATGTCACTTCCTTACACACCGAAATAAACGTGGGAACAGTTTAATTAATCGCTACACTATAATTTTGCAAACGCTTATTGTTTTTAAGAAAGTTTGAAGATGATATTGTAGTGATTAACAGAGTATTTTTAAGACACAAATTTACATGTAATACTATAAACAATTTAATTGTTATAAACGTATTTTATATGTATATAAATGGATAATTTCGCACTGTTGTTACGTGTAATGTGGAATTGTACTGACTTGAAGAAAATATGAAGTAGTATTGATTATACACCGCACCCTATCGTATCAACTTGAGTTTCGGCAACCTTGGGTTTACAGAAAGAATATTTTGTATCCTAGAAACAAAAATGTGAGTTTTTATTAATTAACACTAGCAGGGTCAGCGTCTTTGTATGTGGTATTCGGAAAAACAATAGGTTATAAATTTTGTTTGAAGATTTTTTTAAATAGAAACAAACATCGAATTTTATGTGTGTGACAATACATTAATAATTACAATACATCAGTGAAAATCATAATCAAACCTGTTACTGAGATTAGCATGTTCAAAGATACAAAAAAAAAAGAAATCAAGACAAATAGACAAAAGACAAACTATTTTTTTTTACATTTGTATCCAAAAATAGTTTATGTAATGTAAGTACAAGCTACGTATACAATTTGTTTTTTTTTTACATTTAATGACAAACAAGCTGACAGTCTACTATCAGGTGGGCCGTAAGCTTCTTTGCCATTCTAATTACATATAATGTTTGTGGTTCTTAATTAAAATGTGTATGTATTATTATCAGGTTTTTTATACTACTATGCTGGCAAGCAAGCATACGGCATGACAGATTACTCTACAACCTCTCCGACGTCGTGTGACACTTTTATACTTCTTCTAATGTATATTGCTGTATATCAATCTAATATTATAAATCCATCTAAAATTTATAAAAAAATAAAATAAAATTATATATCTAAATTATCTATTAGAAAAACAGATAAAGGTTTATTTTTCCGAATTTATATTACAAAGATTGTAAACAATAATCTTTATTTAACAATATTCGTGACAGATTTTTTCTGCAGTAGTTTCTCGTAGTTTGCTCGTTACTAAGTGGGTAACGTACTATTTAGATTTTTTTTTAATTTTTAATGCAAACATAAAATACGGTTTTCTCCTTTTACAATCTTCCTAATATTATAAACCGAAACTTTGTAAGTATGGATGAATGGATGTTTGTTACTATTTCAACCGAAAAGTATGGTTGCGATCGCAAATAGCCATTTAATATATTTAAAAATAAATTTATAAAATTCAAATTGGAAATGCCACGCATGGAACATCGATGTTGTTTTGTTAACTTAATATTTTGCACTAATTCGCGAACATATCGTGGCGTCGCTATTAAATTCAATATACCTACAATACATCCTAAACATTTTTTTTATTTCATTAATACAACAAATTAAACATTGCAATATTCCTCCAGCAAACAAACTACTTAACGGATTTTGATGAAACTTTACGGTAATATAGCTTATACATCAGAATTACACTATAATTTAAAAATGATATATAATATGATAGGTGTGATGCAAACAAAGTTACTCGGGTAGTATTAATATATACTTAGTACTAAATTGAGAAATGTATTTTTTTATATTTGTTAAGTTTCTACATTACTATATGTTTGAATAAATGAAATTAAATTGAATAATATTTATTATAGTCACAACTGAATGAAATTAATAGTCGGGCCTAAATCCGTCTTTTATAGGCTGTATTAAAAAAAAACTAAACTGAAAACTGAAATAAGGGCTGAAAGTACAGCATCCGAATAACAGCTAGAGGGGGGAAATGGGATTATTAGTAATGTGGACTGATGATCCTATTGAGGCGGTTCCCCCTAGAGACCATCGTGATAAATTCTTGGTGAATTTGTCACGATGGGCTAACTGACCTGACCTCATGCTCATCCTATCATCCTCCACTGGTGCCCCGTCAGCATAAACCGTTAGCGCAGGCGAGGGCACCATTTCATTATCATCCATAAAAAAAATAACAGCTAGATACGTATAATTATAATACATGTATGTGAAACAGAATATCGGATATGGATTCAGTCGTTAGCGTTTAGATACGGTTTGTTTTGTTCATGGGTTGAGTCTAGTTATCTTATCTACAGGTAAAACAAACTGAGTTATCGTTGTTTCAAATAATAATTATGATAATTCTTTATTTTTGTTTTCAACGGCAGGTTATTTACTATATTCATTATGATTTATACAAATAGCAGTGAAATCGCGCGATTCAGATTACATAAACGGCCTCAGTGGTTTAGTGGTTTAGCACACTGCTTTAATTCCGATGGTCGCGGGTTCGATTCCTCACATAGTACAAATATTTGTATTCATGAGTATGATTTTATATACCCACATGAAATCATACTCATGAATACATTGCACGTTTTGTATTGCTTTGGATTATAGAATTACCTCATTAAAATAAATGAGTTCGAGAATGATCTAACGTTTTATTACATGATGACAGCGGTTGGATCTGAACCCACGCCCTGGTTACGGACTGGTCTAAAACGACCTAAAACCAATATATAAAACATACAAAAAATATCAATTGAAAAACCAGAGTGTTATTTTTACATTATCAGCGAATAATATAGATTATATTTAAAAAATAACTCATGCTTATTGCAGAGACTGATGGAGTTAAGATTCCATTCATATTTTCAATTAAGCCATTAGTGGAGTCACAAAATAGTAACATAGAAAAGTACGTTATCATTATTTTATCAGTACCGCGTTATCTAGACGAGCACGATATGTGGCAGTTGAAAACACGACGCGACTCTGTTATGACGATTGGAACCATGGAGAAAGATAAGCCGATAATCAGGAGACCCGACGTCCTCAAAAAATTTAGCGCCGAGGGTATACAGATGATCGAACGAGGTCTCCTAAACGAGCTGCCCGACAAACTGAAACCACAACAATTTATACCCAGAGCGGCGGCTTATCTCGAGCCTAAAAGCAATACTACTTCAAAACATTCGGCTGTACAGAAATATGAAAAACAATCTATGTTTATCTCGTGTTTATCGCCAAGAAGAGATACCGTTGAAGATACGCCGGTGTCAGACGATGATAGGTTATCGCCTCTCAAGAAAACTGTCAGTTTCCGCGAGAAAATGTCGCTTACGAATCTCTTCAGTAAAGACAAAGAAAAGTTAAAATCCGCACCGAAGGTAGAAACAATAGTGGAGGAAGACAAAATTAAAGCAGCCAATTTAGAGAAAGCATCCACAATGGACCGCGATAGTAAAATGAAGAAACGCTTTTGGTTTTTTAGACATAAAGATATCTCTGACAGTAAAGAGAAACGACTTCCGAACAGGCCAGTTTATGTGCGAAGTAAAAGTTTCGAATCTATGCCCAGACTATCCGTTGAAGATTATGATAGGGTAGAACCTAGCCAAACATTACCTAGGGTTGGTCAATCTTTTGTGTATGGCAGCACAGATGTATTGAGTAAATATACCGACCACGATTTTGATGATGACGACGGAGTGTTCCTTAAACCAATAAAAGAAAGTGCCAGTTTACAGTCATCGTACACCAACTCTAGTGTATCGACCGGCACCTCCAGATCCAGCGGTATAAACATGAATATACTCCAGAGTGAATCAGTAGCAAATATCTTCAAAGAATTTGACAGAACGGTGGAAATGTTCAGTGAAAACTACTTAAGTGATAGTGAACCGTATACCAAGTGGCAGAAAGAGTGGTCTTTGCAGGATAAGAGAAAGAGTTTATCGCACAGTGAAATTCCCTCTCCAAAGATAGTGCAAATAAAGAAAGTGAACGACTTGAGTGGTGATTTCAAGAGGGAGTTAACGAGTAGGCTGAATTGTAGAAGTGACAGTGGCATAGGTTGTCGGATGGCTCGAAGAGGATCTGTAACGGATTGGTTTGTGCTGGAAGAGTCGGGTAAGGCAGTCGTGGCGGCTCCTTCAGATCGATACAGAAGAGCTCAGAAGAAGCCAATTAACAGAGTGAGAAGGATTAGCTCTACTAAATATGTGAGTACTTTAAACTTCCTTCAGGTTCTTCTGCTTTATTTTAAATGCTTATCAATTTTTTTTCTTATCTGTTAAATTATTTTAATCCACTTACTAACTACACTACGTCAGAAAATCTAAACCCAACAATTAATATAAACGTTTAAGTTTTTTGCTTTTTAGCTAAACCAACATCTTATGTGATTGATACAAGTATTTTATTAATTAACTAACTACTCGCCCCGGTTTCGCACGGGTGTACATGTGTATATAAACCTTCTTCTTGAAATCTATCTATAAAAAAACCGCTTCAAAATCCGTTGCGTAGTTTTAGAGATTTAAGCATACATATGGACAGACAGCGACAGCGACTTTGTTTTATACTATTAGATGATTGACCGGCACATTTTTCATCGATACTCCGCTCCTATTGGTCGCAGCGTGATGTTATATAGCCTTCCTAGATAAATAGGCAATTCAATACGAATTTTTTTTCAATTCGATCCTGTAGTTAGTTTCCAAGAATAGCGCCATAAACTAAACAAACAACCTCTTCCGCTGTATATTATTGGTATAGATATTTAATTTATATAAGTATGTTTTATTTTACATTGTACATCAAATTTTCTTCTTCCATTCAATATTTAATTGAATTACTAGAATGCGATGTATGTCGAGTGTAGTAGAATTTACAATTGTTTAACAGAGTTACACAAATTGTGTTATCTCGAATCTTTTACGTTGCACATTGCGTTGATAACGATAAATCTTTGTAAATATATCAAGGTTTTTTTCTTTACTCGTACATTTACTGAGCTAGACTTCGTACAAAAGTCGTGTCTTCATGCATTATATGAGGTCATCCAGATGATTATATTTGACGACCTCGGTGGTCTAGCGGTCTAGCACACTGCTTTACGTCCGATGGTCGCGGGTTCGATTCCTCGCACGACACAAACACCTATATTCATGAGTATGATTGTTTGTATCGGTCTGGGTGTTTTCTATGTATAATATGAACGAACGAACGAACGAAAAAAAATCTATGTATTTGTATCAGTTATCTAGTACCCATAATACAAGCTTTAGCTAGCTTAACTTGAGTCTAGATGGCGCTGTGTGAATTGTCCTGAGATTATTATTATTTTTCAAACTTATTATTATTAAAAGTCCAAATTTCGTGTTAGGATACTAAGATTGAAATATATAAAACCCTTAGAAGGATCTTCCATTTCGTGACTTATTACATGAACTTCGTGAGTTGATAATTCATACACCACTTACGCACACAGACATCCCACTCACACGTACTCACTCATTATTATATTACTTTTGCTAGATAGTTTTATATATTTTAGCTTAGCAAATTGTCCGTATATTTAGTCTTCCTAGTATAGGATCCATGCTATTGTTGTAAAAATTTGGTAAATAAATATATAATAATTATTATTATACTAGAAGTTTGGGAGGGGTTTCCATAAGCCTGGTTATACAATGTCACACTTTGCTCATCCCCCTCTCCTTTCTTAACGTGTGACTTAACTGGTTATATTTATACAAGGACACAATTTACTCCCCCCCCCCCCTCCTTCCGTGTGACGTAACCATAATCAACGATCCCTATTCTGCACTCTTACTTTGTAAGCTGTATTCTTGATTGAGGACGGTAGTATGGCTGCGAAATTATAGTATGCAGGCATGAGACCTTACTTACTGTTCCCATAGTTGTTTTTTTATACTACTATGGTTGCTAACAAGCTTATAGTCCATTTGATTTTAAACGATTACCGTAGCCTATGCTATGGACGCCTGAAACCCAGGGATGTCACATGCTCATTGCCGACTCTTAACCTGTTAACCGAGCGGGACGTATAAATACTTAAAACGTAAACACTTTCGTGTACGTGTAGAATACATGAATACCAACATTTTTTTAATTTATGTTGCGTCCTGGAACCTGGAACAGTCGTATAGTTTCATACAAAAAAATTGTTGTATGTAACTAAAGGAAATTGTTGTTGCTTATAAATAAAGGAAAATATATATTTCGTATCAAAAATGTATATATAAAATTATATTGTTTTGTGACATATTGAGATCAGGGCCTGTTATAGAAGGAATTCCACGGTTAACAGGTTAAGAAACCTTAATATACCCTTCTTGAAAACCTCAAACTGTACTCTCTCGAGAGAACTTGTAAGTAGCAACTCTATCTCGCAACCGCCAGCCATTAGTTGGTATGTTCTTCCAGTTACATAAAAAAGAAAAAATAATTGCGTCACATATGACCTGACGCGTGATATGGTATCCATATATGAAATATTCAGTTATATCTAACTTAATATAATCAATGTTTGTCACGTTTTATTCCGATAATATTTCTACTGATATATATACTTTTACTTACAATCACTGATAAAGATAAAGTATATACCAATTTTCTTTAACTTGGGAAAGTGTTGAAATTTATGGTTTTACTGTTACGATTAGATGGGACTGTGTGAATTGTCTCGAGGTCCCCATCTAGATCCAAGGTAAACTAGCTAGAGCTTGTGTTATGGGTACTATATATATATGATACTAGTATATAGATATTTTTTTCGTAAATACATACATATTATAGATATAAAACACCCAGACTGATACAAAACATTATACTTATAAATACAAATATTTATACCGTGCGAGGAATCGAACCCGCGACCATCCGATGTAAGGCTAATCTAAATATAAACCACCAAGGCTGTAAATGGACATCCTAAATCTAAGTTTTAATAATTGTGTATTATTACAATAATGTAACAATAACATTTCGAAAAGAGTGAGTGCAGAGTTTCTTGTCAGTTCTTCTTTCATCGATCATCATTACTTTTAGAACTGCCGGTAGATTTGACTTATTGTAACTTATTTTTTTTCGGACTACTCCAATGCTGTAGGTCACAGTTATAGCTTCACCGCACGGGGGCGAGTGCAGATGGCACTCCAAACCCGCGGTAGGACTTATGGAGCGGCTGAAGGCCAACTCCTGTCTGACGGATAAGACTTTAGTCTGAGGGCCGCTAGAGATTTAAACCTCGGCTATCGTAGGTGATTTACGCCTACACGCATAAAGATATTTTTAATTATGAATAAAAAAATATGTACATAGAAGAACAGCCAGACAAATACAAACAGTTTGTACATATAAATACAACTGTTTTTTAAGTTGGCAGCTTATAGAAACTATGTACATTCTACGAAAAAGGTCGTCGAATGTAAGTACATAAGTTTTGTTTTGTTCATCAGAGCGTGGTTGTTTTAAGGTCGTAAATATAATTAACTAGATTATTAATGAGCTTAGTACAGGGAAGTGGTTACTTATAGATGTGTGATGTTGATCATTATATAATTAGCTCTGCCCCACGGTTACAGGTGTAATTTAATTTAAAAGAAATGGCAGCCAATGATGTCTTTCAAACAACCTGAAAAACCAAACCACAAAATTAAATATTAATCACCGGTTTCACCGTAGCCTTTCTGATATATAAGCTATATTACTGTAAAGTTTTATCAAAATCCGTTCAGTAGATTTTGCGTGAGAGTAACAAACTTCTATCCATTCATTTTTCCATCCATATTTACCAAATTTCGCGTTTATGAATATTATAAACGCGAAACTTGGTAAATAGTAAGATGGACGTTTACATTTATAATTGACAATGCTTCTGACTGTCCCATCCGGGAAAACAGTCGTGATGTTACTTTGTTGTATATTTTCTACCTACTCGGCACCTAAGGGTTTTAGACTGATTTATATAACTAAAAGAATTGGGCTATAAAATGCTAAAACGTTATGTCTTTACTACCATGAACAACAGAGCAATAAACCATAGATAATACAAAACAATTTTGGCTGTGTACTAATTAATATTTGTGGTTGCATTCGCAGTTATCATTCATGCCATATAAATATATAATTTCCTCATGTCACTAAAGTGGAGTACTGTAATATATTTTGAAACTAACTTTAAATAAAATATACATTTACTGAACATAATAACTGGAATTTATATAATTAACAAAGTGTATGTCACTGTTAATGACATAAAGTGCATCTAAATATAAATAACTCAAGACTATACATAGTGATCTATCAACGCACAGCCCAAACCACTGGACGGATCGAGCTGAAATTTGGCATGCAGGTAGATGTTATGACGTAGGCATCCGCTAAGAAAGGATTTTGATTAATTCTACCCCCAAGGAGATAAAATAGGGGATAAAAGTTTATACGAAATTTCATCAATTTTAAACCGATCGGGCTGAGACTTTGCTTGCATAAAGCTACTATGACGTAGCCATCCCCTAAGAAAGGATTTTGATAAATTCAACATCTAAAGGGATAAATTAATGCGAGCGAAGCCGCGAGCAAAAGCTAGTTATATTATAACTGTCTTTCCCATCTCACGAAAAAGCAAAAGGACTCAGCCCGTACAGCCATTGTCTTTGGTATATTTTCTTCAATTTATTGCCTTCATAAATCTTCAGAAGTTGATGACACATACTCGAATATACATTTATAGGTTTCTATTTTCTTCAAGAAATTCTGGATGGAGCGCGGAATCACCGTGTCATGATATATTTTCATCAATTTTTCAATAAATATTAAACGTTGTAATCTGAAACGCTGGCAATCAAAGAACAAGTAATTTAGTCGATTGATCCTGGTCGTCGTGTTATTTTCAAGAGCATCCGTGTAACTTACAAAAGTAGTGCTGTACTTGGGGACAATTTTCATCCTAGCAAATGCTTCTTAAATCTTCCATGTCCAATTCTCAGACGGCAAAAATAACTGTCATCTATACTTAAAAATTTTGACACATGTCATTAAACTCTGATTTTTGGTTTCAGCAATAAGTGCGTTCAAACAAACAAACAAAATAGCTTTGTATATTAGTATTCAAGTGTGTTATGTTGATTGTTATATAATATTGTTCATGTAAAGATGTTTACCACTTAATAAATGTAAAAAGTACTCGTAACTTCATTTGCGTCGACCTAGATTTACTTAATTAATTTCCTTTTTATCTGTCTTCGAAAATCTAGAGGTATGACTGTGTTTTTTTTTCTAGAGTATGTACGTAATCTGTGCCATTATGTCCTAAATTCTATAATTTTATTCAAATAGGAATAAATAAAAAAATAGCTGTGTTACCTTGTAACAA